GAACACAAGCTCATCAGTCACCGCAAACGTCCGGTCCAGCTTCCCAGACAGGGAGTTGATTTCCTTCTGAAGCTCCTTTGTATCAGACAAGATCTGGCAGAGACCAGGGCCGTGAGCCTATGTCTGGGGTGGGCAGCTGACCAGCTAAAGGCTTTCCTGCACATGAGCTCACATCCAGACAGGGCCTGTGTCACTGTGTCAGTGGGAACTGGAGTGTACTGGGTGGGACTGCTTTGGGTCATGGTGTGGCTCTGACTATCAGAGGGTGTGGAATCCCTGTGCGGCCACACAACACACATTTGCCCTTTGGGCATGTCTGCCCATAGGACCCACCCTCCATGGCCATGGCAGCGCACCTTAGTGATCTCTTCCTTTTGCTTCCGGATATTGCCCACAATCTCCAGGATGCGCTGGGTATAGGCCAGCCGGGACACGTCTCTGGGCAGGGTCTCCAGCTCGGACACCTAGGCAGAGACACAGCAGGCACTCCCCAGGACCCGCCCCCCATCCACTCTGAGCCCCCCAGGGCTCCGGAACGGGCCTTACCAGCTGCTTATAGACCTCTTCCTTCCTGCGAGCCTCCTCAGCAGCTGCCCGAACACTCTGGTGCAGCTCCTGGATCTCTGCCAGCCGTCGAGAAGATTCCAGCTGTCAAGACCCCACAGGTAGAGGGCAGTAAGCAGAGCATGGGGATGGCCTCCTAGGAAAATACCAAACCTGTCCCACCTACAGCCCAGGACCCCACCACCTACCTCTCTGCAATCCTGGAGCTTTCGGAGGTGGCGGTACTCAGCCAGGAGCGGGACCCGGTGCTTTTCCCACTGGCCTGCCAAATGGATGACCCGCTGGGCACTACTCTCTACCACGAGCTGGGAATGGTGGTAGGAGGGTAGATGTCACACAGTCTGGGCACTTCCACCTCTGACCCTCCTGGTCCAGCCCCAGCCCCAACCCCAGCCCCAGCCCCACCTGCAGCTTGGCGAGGTTGGCAGCCCCATCTGGCAGCAGCTCCACCGCTCGGCTCTTCAGGCGCAGGGCCTGCTCCCTCTCGGCCATGCTGAGCTCAGTCTGCCGACACTCGGTCTCCACCTGGTACCCCAGGACTCCCAATCCCAGTCAGAGGGGGAGTTCGAACACACACCACAGGCTCCCAGCCCACACTGAGCCTGGGAAGCCCTGGCCCAGTCCGAGCCCCCATAGATAATGCCACACCCCTCCAGCCCCTATGGGCCCCTTGGCCCTTCCTGAGAGCGACAGAGACCTATACACAGAAATGGGCACCCACAGGCCCCTGTGACTCCTCCACCTCCACGCTGACCCGCAGAAGCCCTGACAAGCCCCAAAACCTCCTGCCCGTACAGACCCATCATGCCCCACAGATGCCCAGAGATGCCCACACATCTCCTGATTCTCACAGACACTCACAAGGCCTGACGAATGCTCACAGGCACTCTCACCCCTACAGGTCCACCAAGCCCTGAATCATGCATCCCACTCAATTCTCCTGAACCCTCAAGAGCCCACACATCCCCTATAAATCCTTCTGATACCTGCAGACCTCTACAGAGTACCTCTCATCCCCCTCAAGCCCCTCTCCCCCACCCCAGCCCTCTAGCCCAGACTTGTGGCTGGACCCCAGACAGCAGCCCCACCCGCACCTGCACAAGGCCGATTCCCAGAGTCTTCATGCTGGCTCCAATCTCTTCAATGTTACGATTCACTCCCTCTAGCTGCTCCTGAAGGGCTTCCAGCTCCTGCTCTTGAGCTGCCCACGTGTCCTGGGAGGAACAGGCCAGTCAGGGTCAGGGTGTCAGGCCCAGTAGACAGGCAAGGGGCCAGGACACACCTCACTGCTCTGCTCACCTGTTCAGGCCACCGGGAGGTGGACAGCACCTCTGACACCTGGGCTGCCTGGGCCTCAGGCTCCTGGGAGAGTGAGAAGGGAGCATCTCGCTGTCAAGGAAGGCCTTGCCCCTCACAGCCCAGCCTCAACAACCCCCACGAGCACCTTCCCAGCCCATTAAACAGCTGATGACCGATAGTCATACCCATGCCCACTCAACAGCTGATGACTATCAGACTGTGACCATGTGAGGATCAAGGCATTCTCTGCGACCTCAGACTAGAGTGTTTGCTACAAAGAAACCTCCCTGATCCTGACAGCTCCTGCTCACCTGCCCTATCTCTGAAGCCCCAACTGCCCATGAGAAGGATGAGTGCCCCTCTGGGTGACCATCCAAGGAGTGCCCAGAGGAAACTTCCTGGGGAAGCCTGGAGTTTGCACAAAGAACACCCTTCCATCCTTATATAGTTCCCGCCCCTCCACCCTTTCTCCACTGGACTCCTCGGTACTAGCCCCTTGTTCGGAGAGGCCACACCTGGTGGGAACACAGGCACCTGTGTGGATAAGGTAGGGTGTTTGTACATAAAACAACCATCCAAGCCAGTCTTGGCCCCATCCGCAGGCCCACTGTCCACTCAGGCCCACCCACCAGATGGAAGGTGAACTTCTCTGAATGTGTGAAGCGGGAGCCCTTGGGAGCACCAGTCTTGGTCCCAGCACCCCAGGCCTGCAGCAGCTCTCCCAAGTCTCGGGCTTGTGGGGATGGCCCCAGCTGGCCCCAGGTCTGACGCAGATGTTCAGCCAGGTGCTTCTGCAGCCGCTGCCGCTGAGCCCGAGTATCCTCCTGAAAACAGAGCGTGGGGCAAACGGGACAGTGTAGAGGCCTCCTGTTCACCCAAGGCCCTGCCTCTTCCAGGAGCCGCCTGACAAGGTGCAACTGACAAATCACTCCCTCCAGCCACTCCCACTGAGGGGGCTTCCAGCCTGCTTTCCTGGCCCACGGGTCTGGGAGGTCTCCTCTTCCTCACAGCCACACTTCTCTCCACCTACTCACGCTTCACACTGGAGGAGAATGTGGGAAGGTGGTGAAGAAAACCTGCAGGCCCCAAATCAGAGAGTGACACGGACAGGATATGTGGGGACAGAGCAGAGACAGAGTCAGAGGTGCTGGTCAGAAAAGGGGGTGGAAGCAGAGAGAGAAAGATAAGAACAGGGATAGTTTTGCCCTAGCCAGTTTGGCTCAGTGGATAGAGTGTCAGCCTGCAGAAACAGAGGGTGAGGCAAATGAGACAGTGTAGAGTCTCGGGTTCGATTCTGGTCAAGGGCATGTACCTTGGTTGCAGGTTTCCCGGCCCTGGTCAGGGTACATGCAGGAGGCAACCAATCGATGTCTCTCTCACATCAATGTTTCTCTTTATCTCTCTAAAAATCAATGGAAAAATATCCTCGAGTGAGGATTAACAACAACAACAAAAGAATAGGGGTAGTTTTGCCCAGCCAGCATGGCTCAGTGGTTGAGCATCAATCTATGAACCAGGAGGTCATGGTTCAATTCCTGGTCAGGGCACATGCCCAGGTTGTGGGCTAGATCCCAAGTAGGGGGAGTGTAGGAGGCAGCCGATCAATGATTCCTCTCATCATTGATGTTTCTCTCTCTCTTGCTCTCCCTTCCTCTCTGAAATCAATAAAAATATATTTTTTAAAAGAACAGGGACAGTTTTGAGACAACTGAGGCAATGTGATTGTGAATGGTATTAAGAGATCATTGTGCCCTAGCTAGTTTGGCTCAGTGGATAGAGCATCTGCCTGTGGACTGAAGGGTCCTGGGTTC